TTTCAGTCTGCAGGCTGATGCTCTATCCGCTGAGCCAAACCGGTGTTGGCTCCAAAGACCCCTTTAAACTCACCTCTGACGATGTGACGTGGCTCCCCAGAAAAATGTCCCAAATGTGGGAACCTGCCTTTGCGGTCCTCCTGATGTGGGTCCCGCTGACCTCTGGAGCTTCGGACCCTGCCCCTCCCGTGTCTCACGCTAAACAACCTGCTGCTGGAACCTTCCCGTTGCTCATTCAACAGATTCCTCTGCTTGGGAAGTCCTTGGACCCTGTTCTGGTGATTAAACTCCTATCTCACCTACAAAACCCACCTCTGGAAACCCCTGTGACTCCTCCCTCTCAGCACAGTGACTTTATCCCTACAGTATATCGTCTTGTCCTGTTACAATAGAATACAATGCTAGGCTTTCCAGACCGAGGGCTGGGATCCATCTTCCACTTTCCCCACCCCCCCGCTTTTCTGACTTCCCAGCCTGAGCCAGGCACACAGTAGGCACTCAATGTGTATTTCTTCCATGGACAGATGGAGGAGAGATCCCCCCGAAGATAATCAGGCATCATGCATAGAGAGAGGGAGGGGATGCTGTTGCTTAGCAACTGGCAGCTACGAGGGTCTCATCCTTCCCATCCCTCAAGGTGGCTACTATCCTTCATCCCAGCAGGGCCTTCCCCGGAGGCGGCAGCCTTGGTGCTTCCTGGGCAGATGCCAGCCGCACCCCTTTACGCCAGCACCGTGTGGGGTGGGAGAGGGGGAGGTGAGCGCCTGAGAGAGCCATCCTTTCTCTCACAGGGTGGTGGGGGGGCAGGCTGCCCTGTCACGTAAACCCGATTTCTCTGGGGTCACTCATTGTTCTACACTCCACACCCCTGAGTCCAAACACAGAAGAAATAATAATAATAATAATAATAATAATAATAATTGATAATAATGGTAGTAAGAGAGGCTACCATTGAATGAACGCCTGCCATCTGCCACACTCTGCGCCACTTTCAAATGTCCAGTCCTTTATGGTCCGCAGCAACTGGCAGGGACTCTCCTTTCCAGCGGGGTAAACTGAGGCTCGAGAGGAAGAAAGGATCGCACGTGGTGAAGAGAAGATTTGAGTCTGGGCGTGTCATGCCAGAGTTTCTGTCCTTTCCACCGCGCGTTCAAGAGAGGGGGTCTTGCTGGGACCAGTTTGGCTCAGTGGATAGAGTGTCGGCCTGTGGACTGAAGGGTCCCAGGTTCGATTCCGGTCAGGGGCATGTGCCTTGGTTGCGGGCACGTCCCCAGTGGGGGGTGTGCAAGAGGCGGCTGATCGATGATTCTCTCTCATCGATGTTCCTAACTCTCTATCCCTCTCTCTTCCTCTCTGTGAAAAATCAATAAAATATATTTTTAAAAAATATTAAAAAAAAGAGAGAGAGAGAGAGTCTTTCTGAGACCCTCTACCTGGAAGGGGGTTCCCCTCCAGGCCTCCTAGGCCCGTGGTCGGCAAACTGCGGCTCTCGAGCCACATGCGGCTCCTTGGCCCCTTGAGGGTGGCTCTTCCACAGAATACCACGGCCTGGGTGCGTCTATTTTGAAGAAGTGGCGTTAGAAGAAGTCGAAGTTGAAAAAATTTGGCTCTCCAAAGAAATTTCAATCGTTGTCCTGTTGATGTTTGGCTCTGTGGACTAGTGAGTTTGCTGACCGCTGTCCTAGGGGACTCTGCCTGCTGCGATTCTTGCAGTGTCCAAGCTGTAAAGGGCAGGGGTGTTAGCTGTGGCTGTGTGTGTGTGTGTGTGTGTGTGTGTGTGTGTATGTTGGGGGCCTAGTGGGCCAGCATGAAGGCTGTGTGTCTGGTGGGTAAACGATGGGTCGGTTGTTTTGTGTTTTTGTTGAGTGGGGGCTCACCAGTGGGGGCCCCCTTTCGGACTGGAGCTCCTAGGCTGGTCCAGGTGTGCAGGATCTCAGCCCCTGGGGGGGCATCCTTCTTCAGCTCTGGGATCTCCAGCTCAGCTGTGTCTCCTTCCCCCACCAGGAGGGCCCCTCCGACTGGAGGGGAGGCCAGAGGAAGGGGAAAAGAGAGGAGAAAGGCCCCAGGCTCCTGCTGCTCTGGGCTCTGGGCTCTGGGCCGGCTGCGGGAACATGAATCCATCTGGGCGCTAGGGGGCACTGTGTCTGTTCCAAAGAAACCGCAGGCCCTTGCAGGAGGCGGCGCACACAGGCACACGCAGGGGCGCCCACACCGAGGAGACGCACACCCTGGCGTGTCCAGGGGCACAGATGGGCACAGGCAGTGGCACTGGCTCTCATCCTCTCAGAGAAAACAGACGCGTGAGCAGAGATGCAGGCACACAAGGTAGGAGGCAGCTGCACACACAGGGACACACTCAGAGGCATCACACAGAAGCACGGGGTTGGAGACACACAGGCATGTACACAAACGCATGCATATGTCCTTCCTCCCCCACACAGACGAAGACACAAATGCAGGCACATGCCACGTATGCGCATGGCATTTGTAGCATGAAGGAGAGGTGGCCCGGGCACACGGCCTGCACAGAAACACAGTGAGCCCAACCGCAGGCACGCACGCACGCACCCTGCTCGCAGACATTTGCACACCTTGCAGACTGCGCTCTTGGAAACGGCCCTGAAGAAAAACTCCCACACACCTCTCTCTGGAGTGCACAGGATAATTCCACAGGAAACCTGCCTACGGGTTCAGGGGACCCCCCACCCCCACCCCGAGCCCTGTGAAGTCATGTCTCAGCCTAGAGCACACCCCAGCCGGGGTCTCCCCAGACTGCTGGTCTGTGGGAGCATTCTGCCCCCGCCCTGGCCCACCCCGGGCTCCAGACAGCTCCCCACGTCCCCTAGTCCCTCTGGACACACGTCCCGCGTGACACACGCATAACCCAGAACCGATCACTCTGAACCAGGTATGTGACCAGCCGTCAGGGGCTTGGCCCACACAGGAGTCTGTCCTCCTCCTGGCAACCCAGTCCCCCTACGGGTCCCCTTTGAGCCCAAGAGGCTTCATGTCCCCCCAGGTTCCGGCCTGGGGCCCTGTGGGTGGGGAAGGTGCCATCAGAGGCCTACCCAGGCCCTTCCGTTCTTTGTGCCTGAATCAGCCAAGCCTCCCTCTCTCCTCAGCCTCTCACTTCCCTGTCACTTTGCTAAGTAATAATTTCCATGTCCAATTCCATTTCTTTTCTAGTTCTGAAACCTCTAAGCTATCAGCAAGAGGATAGTTCACATGAAAACTAATTACACAAAATCAATATTTAATCACAGACCAACAACCTGATCCTGCAGAAAAAATCCTTTTAAAACTCCGCCGCCCTGTACAAATACTTCTTCTGCCTGCTTATTTATGGACCCCATGTTCGGTGGGGGTAATTTTCATTTTTAATTCCAAAAAGAGGGGAAAAAACATATCTGTCGGCATTCCCAGCAGGGAGGAAGGACTTGAGGGTCTGAGCTGGCTTCTGCTCCCTGAGTTTTAAAGTTGCAGTTTTTTTGTTTTTTTAATTTTTAAAAATTGTTTGCCTTTTATTTATTTTTATATTCTTCTCGGAGGGCAGTGGGGAGGTGTCCTTTTCTCCCCGAGTTCCTTGAGATCCCTGTCTCCTCTCACCCCTACGTTGAGCTCTTTCCCCAACATTTCTGGAAAAAAAAAAATAAAAAAAAAATCCAGCATCTGTCTTCCCAGCAGCAGCTCAGAGGGAGCAATGAATTCGCTTGTGCGAAGTGGTAACTTTTAAACTCCCTCCCCGTGTTCCGTGGAGTGCTTAATCTGGGGTTTTTTAAATAAAAAGGGCTCAGAGGTTGGTTTTATGATAACGTTTATTTCATTTCAGATTTCATGCGTAATTTAGCAAACGCTAGACAGACGCAGGCGATAAACACTTCCCTTTGTGGGGGGGGGGCGAAGGGGAGGAAAGGCATTTTTATACACCATGCTTAATTTTATTTAGATGTCATAGCGATATCAGGGGCACTTCAAAAAAAGTTCTTTTTTTTCTTTCTTTTTTTTTTCCTTTCCTTTCCTCCCCTTCTCCGAAGAATGCTGGTCGGCTCACAGAATCGCCTGGTGCTATTTTATAGCAAGGAGCATTAAAGCTTCCCTCTTCCTTCCCCCGCACACACTTTGGGGAGGGAAATACACACAGACAAGCACACAGAATACACACCTCTTCTCCCCTCCTCACCCCATCACCCCTAACTCCCAACTTGCAACGGGCAAGATAGATGCCGGCCTCGGTGGGGATCAGGAGGAAGATCTAAACATTTTAACTAAGATTATCGGGATAAATATTTCATAAAGAGCAGGGCAGATATTAAATGACTCCTATTGATTTGAGTATCACAAGCCCAATTCCTTGGCCTCTTCGGTTTAATTGATCTCTTAAGGAGGCCAGCCTCGCGCCCACTGGGCCTCGGTCGGGTCTGGCGGTTGCTAGTGGGGTCCTCCCGCCGGCCCGTGCGTCCTTGGGCGCGCTTTTATCTCGCTCGCAGCTCTGCGCTGGACTTAGCCGAGGGCCCCCCCCAAAAAAGGGATCGAGTGGTCACGGCTCCTCCTCCGGGTGGAAGCCAGCGCCTGAGGACTGGGAGTCTCAGGCCGGGGGATTAGGGAACAATTGTGCATGCCCTTGCGAGGGAGGGGCGAGCAGGAGCGCGGGTGTCTGGAGGAGAACCCTAACTTCGGGGGGCGGGGGTTTGGGGTTTCCCGGTCTGCTTTCACCTCCAGGAAAATCCACTCGCCACTCGTGAGCGGGCCACGGTGGAGAGTCAAGGGCTTGCCGCCTCGGGTGGAAGCAGAGTGGACACTTGGCGACTTTTCCCGGCGGCGAGTCCGGGCGCTGCGCCAGGCGACCCCATTGTCTGAGCGGGGCCTCCGCACCGCTTCCCACCCACCCACCTTCCCACCCCCTTGCCACCCACCCCGCGGGTCTCGCTTGCTTCAGCTGGGGGTGGGGAGTTGGGAACCGGGTGGGTAGGAAGGGGGTGAACACAAAGCCAAGCTCCCGCCCTTCGAAGCCTGCGCGCCCTCTCCGCCCCGACGCGCTGGGAGGAGGCCGGGGCGCGCGCCCCCAAGCGCCCTGGGCCCGGACCCCCCGGCCAGACCGCGCGCGGGGGACCCTGGAGTTGGCCAAGTGCGGGTTCGTAGGGGCGGGAGGGGGGGGGACACCTCGGCAGCCAGGACCCGGGACCACCTTAACGGAGAGCCCCGCCCCGCGCCCGGCTCGCGCGGCGCTGATTGGTGCGCAGGCAATGGCTGCAATTGATTGCTGAAATGCAAAACTTGTTGCTGCTTCTCTCCGCGCCGGGCGAGAGGCAGACACCGAGGAGAGGGGAGCGGAGACCCTCGGAGCGCCCCACGCAGCGCCCCCCACCCCGCCACCCCCCGTGAGCCAGGAGAGAGGGGCGCGCGGACCCCCCAGAGCCGCCCCCGCCCCCGCAGCCCGCGCTCCGGGAGCTCCGCGGGAACGCCCGAGCCGGCTCGCCCGGTGTGGTCCTCCAGCCCGCGGACGCCCCCCGCCCGTCCCGGGTCCGAGCGAGGGGGGACTCGCGGAGCAGCTCAGCAGCGCGGAGGCAGAGAGCCCGAGCCTCGGAGAGACCCGACCCCTCGTTTTCGCCGCCCGTCCGAGCTGGAACCGGGCGCCGAGACCCCCGCGAACTCAGGAGACCGGACCGCGCGGAGGACCCAGAGCTGCAGCCGGCGGACCTGGCAGCGGAGCGGCGCGCGGGGGTGCAGCGCACCGGCCCCGGAGCGGAGGGGACGGTGCCTCCCCCCGACCCCCACCCCCTGCAACCCACGGGTCCAACCCCGGGTGCCCGCTGCGCCCTCGGCTCGGGGCAGCCGGCGCGGGTGATGCCGAGCGGAGCCGCCTCCAGCCCTCCGACCCGCTGAAGAAGAGACAGCAGCCGCTTCTGCTCGGGGCCGACAGACAGGGACTGTGCGAGCGGATCGTGTTGGCGGCGGCGGCGGCTCGAGCTGCACGGAGCGCGCGCGCGAGGACTCCGGGGGAGCGGGGAGGGCCGGCTCCGTCCGCGCCCCGGCGCCGGCCGCGGCTTTAGAGGGGTCTCTCCGCCCGGCCCCCCAGCAGCTCGGCTCCGGACTCACTCCCAGAGGCTTCGGGCGGCTTCCCGGGGCTCCCCGCCCGGGACCCGTGTGGACTTGAGAAGGTGATCGCTCTGCTTTCCCTGCCTCCGACCCTCCTGCCTCCTTCTCTCCCCCTCACCGCCCCCCGCACTGAACTTTTTGTCTCCGCTGCTCGCCTGCAGCTCTGCTCCCTCCCCGCAAACCTGTGCCACCCGCCCGGGGCATGGGCCCTCCGACCCGGCTCCCGGAGGCCCCGCGGAGCCGCACGATGTGAGAGGCCCGCGTGGGGCAGAGCCGGAGCTCCGGGAGGGAAGCGGAGAAGCGGAGGAGCCCCAGCCTGCGCCGGCCGGGAGCGGGGGCGGCGCGCACTGCGGCCCCGGGCCCCGGGGGCCGGAGCGGGTAGCTAACGGGCCGGAGGAGGAGGCGCGCGGCGGCGGCGGCGAGCAGGCTGTCATGCCCTATTGATCCCCCCGCACCCCCCGCCGCCAAGTATGTTTGGGCTGGACCAGTTCGAGCCCCAGATCCCCCACAGCAGGAGCGCTGCCGCCGGCCAGGGCGAGAGGAACTTCCACGAGGCCGGACTGAGCATGAACACCCACTTTAAGGCGCCGGCTTTCCACGCGGGGGGCCCTCCCCCGGGCGCCGTGGACCCCGCCCTGAGCGCGCTGGGCGAGCCCCCGCTCCTGGGCATGAACATGGAGCCGTACGGCTTCCACCCCGCGCCGCGCGGCCACTCCTCGGAGCTGCACGCCGCGGGGGGGCTGCAGGCGCAGCCGGCGGTGCACGGCTTCTTCGGGGGCCAGCAGCCGCCGCCGCACCAGCACCACCACGGCCACCCCCACCCCCACCAGCACCACCCTCACTTCGGGGGCAACTTCGGGGGCCCGGACCCGGGGGCCTCCTGCCTGCACGGGGGCCGCCTGCTCGGCTACGGCGGCGGCGGCGGTGGCGGCGGCGGTGCAGGCGGAGGCCTGGGCAGCCAGCCGCCCTTCGCCGAGGGTTACGATCCGATGGCGGAGAGCCCGGGGCCTGAGAGCTTCGGCCCCCCGCCGCAGCGGCCCCCCGGGGGGACCCTCCCGGACTTCCACAGCTCGGGGGGCGCCTCGGGCCACGCCGTGCCGGCCCCGTGCCTGCCGCTGGACCAGAGCCCCAACCGGGCCGCCTCCTTCCACGGCCTCCCCGCCTCCAGCGGCTCCGACGCGCACAGCCTGGAGGGCCGGAGGGTGGCGACCCAAGGAGCCGTCGTCGACTCGCTGGAATACAGTTACCCGGGCGAGGCGCCCTCGGGACACTTCGACATGTTCTCTTCGCCCTCGGAGGCCGAGGGGCAGCTGCCTCATTACGCGGCGGCGGCGGCGGGGCGCCAGGTTCCGGGGGGCGCTTTCCCCGGGGCCTCGGCGGCGGCGCTGCCCAGGGCTGCGGGCATGGTGGGCTTGTCCAAGATGCACGCCCAGCAGCAGCAGCAGCAGCAGCACGGCGGCGTCTTCTTCGAGAGGTTCGGCGGGGCCCGCAAGCTGCCGGTGGGCTTGGAGCCGAGCGGGGTAGCCTCCAGGCACCCCCTGATGCAGCCCCCGCCGCAGGCCCCGCCGCCCCCGCCGCAGCAGCAGCCCCCGCAGCAGCCTCAGCAGCCGCCGCCTCCGCAGCAGCAGCAACAGCAGCAGCAGCCGCCGCCCGGGCTCCTGGTCCGACAGAACTCGTGCCCACCCGCGCTCCCGCGGCCCCAGCCCGGCGAGGCGGGCACCCCCGGCGGCGGCGGCGGCGGCCTGCAAGACGGGGGGCCCCTGCTGCCCAGCCAGCACGCGCAGTTCGAGTACCCCATCCACCGGCTGGAGAACCGGAGCATGCACCCTTACTCGGAGCCCGTGTTCAGCATGCAGCAGCAGCAGCAGCAGCACCCTCCTCCTCTCCCTCCCCCGCAGCAGGCGCCCCACCAGCGGCTGCAGCATTTCGACGCGCCCCCCTACATGAGCGTGGCCAAGAGGCCGCGCCTGGACTTCCCGGACCGCTGCGCCTCGTGGAGCGGCGGCGGCGGCGGCGGCGGCGGCGGCGGCCTGGACAACCACCTCTCGCCCTCGGCCTATCCGGGCCTCCCCGGCGAGTTCACGCCGCCGGTGCCCGACAGCTTCCCCGCCGGGCCGCCCCTGCAGCACCCGGGCCCGGACCCCCAGGCCCTGCAGCACCAGCAGCACCAGCAGCAGCAGCAGCAGCAGCGCCAGAACGCGGCCCTCATGATCAAGCAGATGGCATCGCGCAACCAGCAGCAGCAGCAGCGGCTGCGCCCGCCCAGCAGCCTGGCCCCGCTCGGCCACCCGGGGGACGTGGGCCCGGGCGGCCTGGTGCACGGCTTGGCCCAGCCGAGCTTTGAGCGCGAAAGCGGCGGCGGAGGGGGTGCGGGGCGCCTGGGCGCCTTCGAGCAGCAGCACTTGGCGCCGGAGAGCGCGTGGTTCCCGGGTCCCCACGCGCCCCCGGGGGACCTGCTGGCCCGCCGCATGGGGGGCGGCGCGGGGCTGCAGCCCGCGGACTGCGGCGGCGGCGGCCCGCACGACCCCGGCCTGGCGCCGCCACCCCCTCCTCCTCCGCCCGGCGGCGGCGGCGGCTCGGGGGGCGTGCTGTTCCGGGGTCCCCCCCTGCAGGAGCCGCTGAGGATGCCCGGGGAGGGCCACGTGCCCGCGCTGCCCTCCCCGGGCGGCGGCGGCCTGCAGTTCGGGGGCGGCCTGGCCGGCCTGGGGCAGCTGCAGTCGCCGGGGGCGGCGGGCGGCGTGGGGCTGCCTAGCGCGGCGCCCTCGGAGCGCAGGCCCCCTCCTCCGCCCGATTTCGCCGCGTCCGCGCTCGGGGGCCAGCCGGGCTTCCCGTTCTCCAGCCGGCAGGCCACCCCGCACGGCGGCCCGGGCGTGAGCTCGCCCCCGAGCGCCGGGGGCGGCGGCACCGGAGGCGGAGGCACCGGGGGCGCGTACCCGCCGCAGCCCGACTTCCCGGCCGGCCAGCGCGCCTCGGCCAGCAAGCTGGGCGCGCTCTCGCTCGGCTCCTTCAGCAAGCCCAGCTCCAAGGACAACCTGTTCGGCCAGAGCTGCCTGGCCGCGCTCTCCACCGCCTGCCAGAACATGATCGCCAGCCTGGGCGCCCCCAACCTCAACGTGACCTTCAACAAGAAGAACCCGCCCGAGGGCAAGAGGAAGCTGAGCCAGAACGAGGCCGCCGAGGGCGCGGCGGCGGTGGCCTGCAACCCAGGCTCTGATTACTACCCGGGAGGAGGAGGAGGAGGAGGGACTGCTCCGGGGGCCCCGGGGCCTGGGGGAGGACCCCCGGGGACCAGTAGCAGCAGCAACAAAACCTCTGGGCCGCCCAACCCTGCCTCCCAGGGGGACAGCACCAGCCTCTCCCCAAACTACACCCTGGAGTCCACGTCGGGGAACGACGGCAAGCCGGTCCCCGGGGGCAGTGGCCGGGGCCGGGGGCGCAGAAAAAGGGACAGTGGGCACGTGAGCCCGGGGACCTTTTTTGATAAGTACTCGGCGGCCCCACCCCCGGACAGCGGGCCCGGGGTCAGCCCAGGCCAGCAGCAGCCTCAGCAGCCTGGCTCGGCCCTGGGGGGAGGCTCCACCGAGGCCCGCGGGGCGCCCACGCCCCATGAGAAAGCGCTCACCTCGCCCTCCTGGGGCAAAGGGGCCGCAGAACTGCTGCTGGGGGACCAGCCGGACCTCATGGCCTCCCTGGACGGCGGTGGTGGCGGTGCCAAGTCCGACGGCAGCTCCCCGCACGTCGTGGGCGAGTTCGCCTCCTCGGACGAGGTGAGCAGCAGCGGCTACGCCAACAACGAGGACGAAGTGTCATCCAGCTCGGACAACCCCCAAGCCCTGGGGGCCAAAGCCGCCACCGGCAGGAGCCCCCTGGTGATGACAGGTTCGCCCAAACTGCCTCCCAAGGCGGCGCCCCCGGCCCCGCTCGGCCTGGGCATCATGTCTACCTCTACCTCGACCCCTGACAGCTATGGCAGCGGCCACCCGGGCACGCCGGGCCTGGAGCAGGTCCGGACCCCGACGGGCAGCGGCGGGGGCAGCAGCAGCAGCAGCAGCAGCAGCAGCAGCGCTGGGGTGGCACCACCGCCCCCCGACGAGATCCATCCCCTGGAGATCCTCCAGGCCCAGATCCAGCTGCAGAGGCAGCAGTTCAGCATCTCCGAGGACCAGCCCCTGGGGCTCAAGGGGGGCAAGAAGGGCGAGTGTGCCGTCGGCGGCGGGGGCGCCCAGAACGGAGACAGCGGCGAGCTGGGCGGCTGCTGCTCCGAGGCGGTCAAGAGCGCCATGAGCACCATCGACCTGGACTCCCTGATGGCCGAGCACGGCGCCGCCTGGTACATGCCCGCCGACAAGACCCTGGTGGACGGGCCCGAGGACGACAAGACGCTGGCGCCCTGGGAGAAGGCCAAGCCCCAGAACCCCAGCAGCAAAGAAGGTATATCCCTCCGCGTCTGGTCCCCTTTCCTTCCCTCTCAGAGACACCCCCCGCCCCCACCCGGCCCCCTCTGCGGCCTGGACGGCCCCCTGGAAAGAGGGCGTCCTTTGGCATTAGGGACACCATAGGGCCAGCTCAGAGCTGGACACCCTTCCTCTGACTCACACCCAGGGCTCTAAGAGTCTGCACCTCCCCCCTCCCCCCCCTTCTGAGGTGCTACCAGGTAGATCCTGGGTGCCACTGGGTGCTAAGACCTTAGGGGGGGGGGGTGGAGCGCGTTGAGGATTATTGCAGAGTCCCCCTCCAGCTGGCTGCTCAGAGGTCTGGGTGCCTCTCCTTTCACACCAAGACCCCTTCTCGGCCACCACCTCCAGGCTGGGTTCTGGTTTTGGGGGGCTCCTGTGCCCCCCTCCTGGTAGGACACGTGGGACGTTAGGTCCATGTGCCTCCCCAGCTTTGCTAGGCAGCCAGCCTCCTCTCGCTGCTCCAGCTCCTTCCCTGTGTGCCAGCATCTTTAGGGGAAAGAGGAAAAAAAGTTCCCAGCCCTGGTTATGGCAGCATCCCTCAGGGGCAGCGCCTGGTGTGACCTGTGCTCCTGAGGAGTACTAGCTGTTTTGTCTCTTCTGAACTGTTATTGGAGTTTTGTGGAAGCGCCGGATATACCTGTAGGGGTTGCGGGAGGCAGGCAGGCAGTCTTTCCCAGGTGCGAGCCCTCGACATTGGTGGGGCTGGGCTGGGGGTCTGCATGGCAGAGGCCAAGGCCACTCACCCGGGGCATGGGGGTCTGCAAATGGGGGTAGGGATATATATTCTTAAGACTCAAAGGACCCGCGTTTTGTCAATATGCATCCCTGGCTTTGGTGGCAGATGTCCGGTCCCAGCTCTCCTTTGCATCCTAACCATTCCCTGCCAGCGCCCCCCCCCCCCAATCAGGCCTGGGGGCTTTTAGGTGTGTGAGGTGGGGGCTGATCCATGAACCACCATTGCAGTTAAGGAATAACAGGGTTTTTTTTAACCTAAAAAAGATGGGCTGCTGTAGATAGCCATTTCATTTTCCTGGGACCTTCCTCTGCTCCTTTCTTCCTCTCCTCACAGATAATGGCTCTATAAAGTTAGGGAACATAACATAATTTCTTTCTTTTATTCCCCTCCTCCCCCACTTCTCCCCCCCCCCCCTTTAAATTTTTTTATTCAAACCCTAGTTGAATCTCCTTGGTTTCAACAGGCTGAATAGTATCATGAGAGCAGGGACTGCTGATGCAAACCACGTCTTTAAAAGCACATCCCTTGATTGTTGCCCGCCCTCTCCTGAGTTATTTTCCTCTGCCTTCAATTCCCTCGTCCACCTCCTGGCCCTGGGTCCCAGGGATGGGTAGGTTTTGGGAGCGTGGCATGGGCAGGAGGGGGAGGGACGTCCGGCCGGAGCCGGTGGCTCAGACTCAGGGTCCTTGGGGCAGGCGCCTGTCCTGGGTCCGTCACTTTCCCGCTTAGGTTTTCTCATTCATGAATGCGGCCGGCCTGGCTGCCTGGCTGCCTGGCTGCCTGGCTGCTGCTGCTGCTGCTGCTGCTGCTGCTTTCTTTGTTCGCCTCCTGCCCAGCCTGGGATGCGGCTCTCTCATTTGAAGCCGGGTGTTTAGCATGCACAGCAGATGCCGCCAGAGCCGGCATCAGCATTCTCCAGGCTCCTCCCGGGCAAGGCCATAAATTGGTTAGTTTGGGGCCCTCCGTGTCTTCTCCCCTTTTCTCTCCCCCCGCCCCCCACCGCCCCCGGTCTCCTTTTAAAAATGGAGTTGGACACGGCATCCTGCTTGCTGGGCCCCCCTTCGCTTTTATTTTCTTGTACAGAACATCTCGGTCCCTGCCGATCGATAGCTGGTTAGCACCGATCCCAGCCCCTGTCACGGCTACCTGGCTCGGCCGGGCTGTCCCTCCTCCTCCCCCTTCTCCCAGCCCCACCCCCCCTCCCCAATCCCACACCAGTAATTAAGAACATATTGGCCCAAATGGGGCGAGAGAAAAGTTAAGAAAAGGAAAACCCGATTTAGTGAATTCGTAAAGAAAAACCAGTAGCACGCTGCTGCCTGGGAGCCTTTGGAAAGATCTTAAAGGAAAAAGGATTGCATGGCTTGAATGAGTTTTTATTTTTTATTTTTATTTTTTTTAAGAGGTGTCCCATCACCCCCTTCCTAATCCACCCCAGAAATCTTCCTTTATAAGGAAGAAGAAGGGAAAAAAAAAATAAATGAAAAGATGCAGGCTGTGAATGAAGACATGTCATGAAAGAAATGCTCTGTTTGCCTGTTTCATGGTCACGGACAGATGAGGGAAAATGTTTTTTTTTGTTTTTTTGGAAACAGATGCTAGTCACTTTAGGGTTGATTTGCCCAGTAGGCCCGCCCGACGCAGCCCTTCCCCGCACCCAGGAGGACGACAGGCCTTCCTTCCACCCACTTGACCTCCTTTGTCTCCCACTCCTGACGTGGGAAGGACAGGTTCCTAGATAAAGCCCTCCACTGAGGTCCCTCGCAGCTCCCGCAGCCTTGGGGCTGCCAGGGAGGGCCTGTATAAGGCGTTTGCATCCGCTCGCTGCTCCCTTACTGGCAGTAAATAAGGGTGATTAAACTTTTCATTATGATAACGCCCTTCGGTTCCATCTGCACACGCTGTCTAAATAGGTACACAGAGCCTTCCATGGGGCCCCCGAGTCCCCTGGCTGGAAATCACACCCAAGTGTGCCACTTTGAAATAGAGTAAAAAAAAAAACACACAAACTCACAAAACACAAACAACAACAACAACAACAATACACAGCACCACTAAAGTAAAAAGTTCTGCTTTTTTCTTAACCACGAACCTCTGTGGCCCCACCAGCCAGCAAGCAGTGGTGTCCAGCAGCTTTGAATCACCCAGCAACCACTTTCTGCCCCCAACCTCCCACCCCCCTTTCCAGGCAAAGCTCATTTTTGTAACGCTATTTTATTTTGTCACGCCGTAAAACACGCCCGTCCTAATGGGATTAAATATTAACACCGTTTCTGAAGTCTCTCCGCTCCGATGACCACATACTGGTCGGTATTTAACGGAATGACCCGGGTCGGAGGGAAGGAATGGTGTCCTCAGAGCTGCCCAAGCCATGTGTACGGCCCCTGGGATGTGCCCGATCGTCTTCTGGGGTTTCCAGATGCCCTTCCTCCTGGGAAAGCCTAGGCCAGCATGACGTGCGATTACGATTTTTTAATTTTTTTTTTAAAAACCAGGAAAGCGAGCCTCTCCCCTGACTTCTTAATCAATCCATCGAACAACTTTTTTTTATAGCACGAAACTCTGCATCTCAGGATGAGGTCGAGTTTGCACAAAGTTGGAATAGGGGGAAGGGTGCAAAGGAAACATACACATACACACACACACATACACACACACACACACACAAACAAAAAAAACCAAGCCTAGTTTGGGGCCTATTCAGACATCTATGACATTCGGGAGCTTGCCATGCGTTTGAGAGGAGTTCGCAGAATTGCCCACCTATCTTTGTACTTAGATGTGTGGCCGTGGAGGAATTCCAAAACTGATAAAGAACTCGACATGAATGCTAGCTAGAGTGCAGAGGAAGGAGAGATTGCAGGAAACGGCGTGCTTTGCCCCCCCCTCCCACTCCCCCCGCCCCTCCTGCCTCTTCCCCAGAATTTTCAAAACTTGGATCCACCATAATTCTGGGATACAAGTTGATCCTGGCCAAACTCCCTTCCTCGGACTGCTGCTCTCTCTCTCTTAAAACCAGGAGCAGTTCAGAGACGCTCGCTCCTGTCCCTTGGCGTGGGAGAGGTCTCCAGTCTCTGCTCTGCATGCAGACCTGCCCTCTTTGGGAGTAGGACACGTCCACAGCGATGATGCGGGAGGAAATTTTTGGAATGCCACGCTCCCCTCGGCGGCGATCGATCCGGTCGGAACGCAGTTAGGATGACAGCTCCGAGAAATCCTGCATTTCCTTTAGACACGGGGCAGGCTGGGTTGGGGGGACGGAGGGGGACCCCGCGCGCTGTTTATTTTTTTTCTGATTTTTTTTCCCCACTCCCCCACACCTTTGGAGAGAAGGTTCAGGCTCACGCGAACTTGTCTGGGGGGGAGAGAGGGGAGGCCAGAGAGCCTTGCCTTCCCCCTGTCCCTGTGAGAGCATCCAGCCAGGGTTGCATGCCTCCATGGGACTTGCTCGGCCTCCACCTCCTCCTCCTCCTCCTCCTCCGGGGGAAGATGTAACCCAAGACTTCGCAGGTGTGAACCGGGGGGTGATGTCAACAGGAGCCCCCTTTGTGCAGCTGACGGGAGGGCCTGCCTGCCTGCTCCCGGCTCGCCCGGGACGCACTGCTTACGACTGTGCGTGGCGCTTGTTGAATATTTCATGGCTGCAATAAACCTGTCTTCTCCGCCCGCCTCCCGACATAAGAACCCCCCAACCCGGCACACACCGACAATTATACATTCCCGCTAAATATTAATAAAGGACAAGGATGCGTTCAGGGGCTGAGAGCTGCGTGGTGTGGAGCTTGCCATGGTTTCTGCCCCTGGATATATTTTTTTTTTCTTCTTCTTCTTCTTCTTCTTCTTCTTCCTTCTTCCTTCTTCCTTCTTCCTTCTTCCTTCTTCCTTCTTCCTTCTTCCTTCTTTCTTCTTTCTTCTTTCTTCTTTCTTCTTTCTTCTTGCTGTTTGGATTTTAAGGAGCCACGGCCTTTTAAGAGGTAACCTATACTTCTGTATGCTCCTCTGTTATACATATATACATTTTTTAAAAATTAATTTTTGCAGATTGCAGGGTGTTTCCTCAAGGAAAATATAAATAATATAAATCCATTTCGATGTCCTGGGCCTCCCTCCCTCAGCCCTCGGAAGTAAAGGGACCGTTGAGATGTCCTTATGTTATTGAGGCTTCTAGGAAAGGAACGCGAGGCTTGGTGGTAATCTCATTTCTCTTTCTAGCAATGAGATCCGATGGCTCCTGATGC